CAAGTGAAAGACATCTATTGATCAATATTTCATCCAATAAAATAATCTTTACAGATATTGTACTCATTTATATTTTATGTCATCCTTTCCAGTTTGATCACTGATGTTGGGGAAGATCACAGTGAATTTGATGCATATCCTAGCTCTCAAGAAAAAAAATATAGCAATGAAGTAAGTCTATGATTATTTAGGTATGGTTATATATTGTGTTAATCACTTGCAGCACACGGTAGATGGTTTCCTTGCCTTTGTTTAGTATTTAACTGATTGTCACTGTTCAGTCATGCAAGCTTACTACTGTGACATTTGCAAACTGTTACACCAGTTTTTTTCTCAACAAAATTGTGATATACATATGCAATTACTATTCATAATTATCATGTTTAATCATGGTATTTATATTCAAAGCCATTCATGTCTACATTTTCCATGATTTAGTAACCAAAATGCTCCCAAAACACAATTACAGAACTTTACCAGTCTGAGAGCTTACAACTGCAAATAAAATGGCATATCGGTGAATGATGCAACCTCTTCCTGAACTATTCACCTAGTCCATGTGATCTTTTGAATTAAGAATAAACTGAAAGGCGGTAAATATTCAACGTTCATATAACATATTTTAAATTTAACTGATATATGCATGTTTTAAATACTAATATTTTAAATATTATTATTATAAATTTAACTGCTCATATTTTAAATTTAACTACTCAAAATTTGGAATTGAAACACCCATATTTTAAATGTTCATATTTTAATGTGTTAAGCGTTAAATCATTGCCCTAATGACACATAAAATCTCATTCCGAAATATTCAGTTTGAAATAAGACAAAGGTATGTTGTATCCTACCTATTATTCGACTAGATAATTTGTAAGTATTACGTAATGATTAACCAATAAAGATACCCAATAATTGTATTATAGGTCGATTTTAATTAACCTGAAAGAGGGATAAGTTAGTCAAAAGAGGGTTAGGGTTAAATCTTGAAAAATATATAACAATAATTATTCAAGAATCGTTTGCATCTGACCGAACTAAATACGTGTACGCTACGTGTATGGCATCAATCGGTGTTACATATTCTTATTCAGTAATCCAACTCCGACAAGACGAGGTTTGAGGAACGACCTAAATAAAAAAAACATATAACATGACTGACTGAAATTCTGCCTAATGAATAACAATACATACCAGTTATATATTAATTACATGCTACACTGTTTAATAACGAAGGAACACAATGATATGAAATTATTTTGTATAACACAGTCATGCACATTGTAGAGTGGGTGATTTTTTTCCAGTCAAATGAATATCTAAAGAATATACAAACTCATTATATAAAAGATGTCGGAGGATGCCCTAAAATACTAAGAGTTATAAATTCTACAATAAATTCATCTCGATTGAAATTCAATACACAAATGAGTCCATGTATATACCAACAACGACAGGAAGACTAAGAAGGAATATCTGTGGACACATTGTGCATATATCGGTAACAAGTATTCCTAACTCACCATACAGACTGTGTTGCCATGTAAAGACAACTCGGTGTTGTGAAACCATTAAACCTGCAAGCACCAGCCATTGTATATGCGCCAAAATCTGAGAATTAAATTAATTAAACGCTATACGGGTGAAAACAAATAATAAATGTGGAAAAACAATTAACGTGACTGTGTTTTCTGAAGGGAATTCATCATAAGTTTGATACTTGAATTTGCCTTATGTTGAACAATTTCTCTGTTAGAATCTGTCAATGACGCGCTCTTATAAGACAGAAGTTATATATAATCGCCGGATAGTATATAATTCGTCTTGATGAACGAAATTCAGGTGTGAAGTCAATGATACACGTCTCATCCAAGCTTCAATGATTTAGTTTCAGACAATATGTAATCCTCCGATGCTCTATCCACAAACACAAATTAAAGTCAAACTGGGTTGTTGTGTTAAACCTATGTCCGCTCAACAACATGATAAATATGAGGTATATCATCTAAGTATTAATAATTGTACATATAATATATCACAACTGAATTACCTTCAAAGATAATCCAGTCCCCAACGTCTATTTCTGGTAACAAGCAGCGGGGGACAAGCATGTCTTCGCTGTCACAGGTGTGTCCCCAAATACACGAGGGGAACATAGGTTTGTGTGAAGGCATGTCCTGACGATATTAAAATAAAAAAACTACTTTTACA